TTAAAGATCAAAGCAATGATAAAAAAAACCGGCGTTTCCGAGAGACTTCAGTTCAAATGGCGCAGAGTCAAATCGACACCATTAAGTGTGGTAACAACATCGATGTCTCTATAGGTCTCTGCTAATAGTGTCACCTGTCGCGTCGGATTAACACAGCAAGTGATTTTAAAGAAAGTCAAAGGTGAGGTAAAAATTTGTTTGCGAGAAGAAAAGAAGAGTTTACAAATAACTGGAGACTTCTTTAAAAAAAAACATGCATATTTATTAAAACACAATCAGTGTAACATTATCCAGAGCATTCTATACATAAAACATAATTACGGTTAATATCTGTTGTAAATTAAAACAAAGTCATCCGCCCAGCTAACACATCGTCACCTAGAGCACTTTGTAGACAGTTCCGATTACTATCTCCTGCGAATCAAAGCAATGTCACCCATCCAGCAAACACGTCATCACCAATAGCACTCTGTACATAATTATAGTCAGTATCTCTGGTAGATAGAGACAGACATCCAACCAGCAAGTAGATCATTGCCTAAAGCACTGTATATAATGATAGTCAATATCTTTTGTAGACACTTTTGCATGCAAAGAAACAAAGTCATCAATTTAGGTAAAAGTTGAAATGATCACACAAAGGTTAGTGTAGATATGGTCCTTACAAATATTTCATTCGGAAGATAATCCATGTCCTGACATGGGGTTGAGCATGATTGTTATATATAATGCTAATATTATTCGATATTTTGTTTTTGTATACCACTTGTTTCGGATGCATCTATTATAAAAATCTCAACGTTGCATCGAACACTACGCGATCCCACTGTTCCTGAATGTAGTATTTAGCAAATGCTGAATCCAAACACCTCCCACCATTGAAATTCGAGTCCAAAAAGGGTCCTGTTCGCATTTCAGAATATATCTTGTCATACTCACAGTGAAAAATTGTCTCTGTAAATGTCTCAATGACGAAAAAGCTATTCAGCTCATTGAATATGGCATGCCTGTTTGTTCTGGCATGATGTACCATTTCGGAATTCATGAAACCCATTCTGCAATATGGACAGTTCAGGGTTGTCAACGCTCTTAGGCAATCCTCACATATGTCATTTCTACACACATGACACATCGTAAAATAAGTGTTATATTTAAGTTCCGTACAAATCTGGCACTCCTCAGCCCAGAAAGCAATTTAGACGTCATTATGCACAACATAAGTAATGAATTCCAACCAGTTCACTGCAACGTCTACTTTAACTAGACACTAAAGGTGAAGTGAGAGTGAAAATAACTAGCCAAATACTGACCCACCAACACCTCTAGAAAGTGACACAAGAATTAAATCAGTTTGACGAATCTTTAATCAATGTTCATATCTGCTTGTCAGAACTCAGAATAACTTCGGGGCATATTTCGATGTCGAATGCTCCTTAAAGCAAACATACCCACACCATGCTGTTATAAAATTAATCACAACATTCAAACCTGTGTTCATGTTGGAAAATTTCTAAAGACATCAGTATTCCCGAGGAGTGTAATTCCTTTTTGAATACTTTCTTTAAACAAGTCGGAATGAGAAGGTAAATGTGGAGGTAGATGTGACTAAAGAATCACAAACGCTTAATGTCAAGGTGACCATTTACCAAAAAGTGATTGATTTAGAAGAAGAGACCTCTCACACCTGCGAATTCAGGGAATGTTTTGCATTAGAGCAAACATACAAGTATTAAGGTAGGTAGAATTAAATGTAAAAACGATACAACGTAATCGATTTTTTAGTACATTTTATTAACAAAATAATTAACAATAGGATTGAACACAATGCTAGCAGTAAAAATGGAATGTTTATTGCTTAACGAAGGGAGTTAATTGACCCATAATTTTAATCGAAACCGACACATAGCTATTACAACATAAACATGTATATCCTGAGTATTTTGAATTAATATTTTATGATAGATATTTTCAAATTTGACATGTTAAATACTGTTAACAGTTTTCACAACAAAAGATGTATTTAAAAATCATTCTTGTTAAAAAGAAACATTGAACTGTAAGAATATTAAATAGTGAGGTAAATTCTAAAATACAAGAAATGGATTTCTTTGCATTAGTAATCATAAATATCTAGAGTATTTAAAACTTAAATAAAAAAATCTTTCCCTGAACATCATTTTACTAAGTTAAAGGGAGAAAACTGACTCAAAAATTTAAAATCTTACATCTTCATAGACGAAACATGTAAATCAACAAATACAATCATTATACATTATCTAAACTACATTAATTATACATTATCTAATGAATATCGAAACTATAAAAGTATTTAAGCTATGGAAATTAAAACACCATAACACATATCTATCATATTGGCACATGATATGTAAGGACACTTTTTAGATTGTACAAAATCAAATGTAGATTAGAAGTTAAGATTTCTATTGACAATGCCATCAAGGCAAGAGTAATTTTCAGTCCGATATTTAATGGCGCTATTTTTTTCTCTGTTATGGAAACACATGCGGGGGTTGTATACATTCAGGATTTTGTCTGCCGGGATTGCTAATGTATATCATACTATTATCAAGATTACAAAACAGAACGATTTTAAAAATTACATAACAAGACATACGATAAGATGGCATCAATATACAATGGGACTTTATTTATCATTTTTTTTTATTTATTTCATAAAAGGATTTATAAGGTCTTTCAATTGGTCTTCCTTTTTTTTTTTTTTTTTTGCATCATGTTTTAACACAAAATGCTTAACAAGTGTAGGCAACACGAAATGAACTATTAACCTGTTCCGATCGTATCAAAAGGTTCACACGAAGGTTATTCTATAGTTACTGTTCTATAAAGATCGCAGGAAAGGCAAAATACTGACATCCTCGAGGTAAAATACTAACGACTTGTAAAGCTGATTCGACATTTTATAAAGGTGAACACCGAGGCTAAACTAGCCGCCCTCCAGCCATATCATTTCTGAAACTGTTCTTTTGCTTAAGTCTGTCTTGTGTATGCTCCGTCCTTTATTGACATGAATATACTTCTAAGCGAAAACGATATCCAGGGATTTGCTCATAAAAGACATGCGAATAATGAATGTAACATATCAAGCGTGGTAACGATGAAAAGAGATGGATTATTAATAAATGTAGGTGTGGCAGTTCGTCTTCACAAGTGTAACGAAAAGAAAGCTTTGACAAATTTTAACTTTGAAATAAAAATGCCAGTAAGTATAGTCATTTTGCATGTCTATCTTAAAAAGTATTTAACAAACTGTGATATTTCTTTGTTCTTTAGAACAGGTAAGTTTTTGATATAAAATGTCCATAATATGTTATAGAAGGAATTTTACATCATGTTTTTAACAAAAGGTCACGGGGGGTGTTATCATGCGATGTTGACTAGATAATACAAATTGAACCTTTAACCTGTTTCGATTGTATCCAATGGTTTACATACAGATCGCAGTTAATAGATATCCCATGAACTTTTAACACAAAGAACCACGTGATCACCTTAGCCCTATAAATTTGGCGGCAAGAGTGGCAAGTGATGCCATTTACATGCGCGATTTCATTTAATGTTACATATTTTGACAAATCGGATGATTTCTACCTGCATATCAACAAANGGGGGGGGAGGTGGACGAAGTTGGATTGGAACATATAAAGAACAAGTTCCAAGAACATTTGCCTTGGTTGAAGGAAGGTGTAAGTAGTCGTTATATCATTACGTTCATGTGTGTATAAATATACATAATCTAACCATTGTTTCTAATGTATATATATCATCTTATTAATCATATGATATGAAAGCATCTCACAATCTTATCGTATTTTAGTTGACACAGGCTAAACAAGAACGGGAAGTGGCAAGTTTGAATTAACAAAGCATGCCTTATCCTTACATCCTTTTTATTTAATTTCTATCAATTAGAATAAGGAAGCAATACAAGTAGAATCATATATTATTTCCTTAGTGATTCTAATCTCTTTATACTTATTACACTAATATTCTTCTTTCATCTCATTGCTTGCATCTATCTATATTTACATAGAGGATGTATCCTTACAAGAGGCCAAATCAGCCACAGCAGCAACCAATACAACAGCAGCAGCAGCAACTTTCACAGCAGCTGTTGCAACAGCAACAGCTGCCTGCAAAAGATTTTGTGTTTTATTGAAAAAAATACTTCTAACTCAAATTCAGTAGACACATTTATTATACACGTAGACATATAGATATATAGGATGAGGCGGGTAGTGCCAACAAACTTATATTAGCAAAATCATGTTTCATTACAGAAATTTTCAAATGGAATTGCGTATAATTTGGGAAATATTTCAACGAAGTCTAAGGCAGTTGGTGCTTAAATACATTGATCTATTCCCACAAAATCACATGTCCTATGGAAATCGGGACAGGTACGTGGCATATTCGACAACTACATATGCATAGCACTTTTCTTTTGCGATGCATATAAAATGTCTAGCTTCTTTGACACCAAAGAACGGTCTGGCAAATGTATAAGTTTGCATGTTTACTCTGAAGAGATTTGGCGCGTTCTATGCCGATGAACTATGGTGTTTAAAACAATTAGCGTCGCTTTGTACCATTTTGATGACCAAAGTACAAGTCATGTAACATTATAACCAAATTCAAAAGTACGCTTCAATAAACTATTATACATATGCATTTAAACATTACTCATCACATGTACATGTGGTATATGGAACATGAAACGGTACATTGAACGATTTTAATTATTTGCTGCATTACCTTCAATTACATGTACGCTCATTCGGTGTTACTCGAAGTTGTCGACACGATGAGGTACAAAAATCAGAGACGCACAAATGTATTTATTACAATTAAAAAGGTTTCTGCAAAAGCTAAAGATATTGAAAACAAACGGTGATCATCGGCATTCTTTCTTGATGACGCCACGATCGAGTTATCTTTCTTAATATACACCTGCAGTCACGTGATAACAACTTCCGGTGTGGTAGAAACTTCAAAGTGGACAGGTGTTTGTACAGGTGATATTTAAGACAACAGTGTTACTATGGGTGTAGATTTGACAATAAGTTTAATACTGGCGGTTTTTACAGTGTTATTGGCGTCTGTTAAATCCGAAGACGTGCAGGTTTTGAGTACCTACGGGTATGTTAAAGGATTCTCCATACGTTCACACTACTCCGCCTATTACACAAAACGTATCAACATATTTCTGGGGATACCGTACGCTAAACGACTGGAGCAATTTGACGACTGGAGACGAGACTTCAGATTCCGTGTAAGTATGCGTACGCCATTATTGAGAGTATACATAATCAGAAACTGTTACAGTTAGTGGTTTGTTATTGTCGTAAACACAGTTACCTGTATCGCAGGTGTTTAATTTCCGGATTCTATAGCTGACTAATGTCAACACTCATAATTGATGTAGATAGTCTGAAACGATATAAATTCAGATATTAACTATTCATTGTCATTTCTCTGAATAAAATTAAAAGATTTCTTTTAGCGCTGAATCTTTCATAAAAATCATTTACAGTGTAAATTAAATTAAACATGTACATGTAACTGGTCCAAAACTCTCTGCCTATTGATCATGAGCTGCTGTATATATTGAGATTTATTTTCTAAGGATCGAGCTTCAATGAAAAAAAAAAGAAAAAAGTTGCATGAAACTATAGGTTTTAAATGGTAATATTGACTACGAAAAAGATAAATCTAGAGGTATATATGTTTATTTTACATAAAATTCCTAAATTTCCCTGCATCAACATATGAAAAAATAATAATTTTATTTGATGTCTATTAAAATAGTGATTAAATCTTGTTTCAAATATTACTTGATGTCATTTTCTTAAATGAGCTACTAATAGAATCATTCACCCCCTTTGGGGTGAGATAGGGGAATCTCAACCTGAGTGGGGGAAATTCTTATGTTGCCAAACACGAGGCTTTGCTGAGTGTTTGGCAACTTAAGAATCTTTCCCCGAGGGTTGAGATTCCACTATCTTACCCACAAGGGGGTGAATGATTCTTTTTCTCTTACCCTGTTTCCCCAATGTGTATCATATACACAATGTAGTGATAACGTTACATGCTAAATTCAGGGTTGACGTGACGTTGATGGATTGTTGACGTGACGTCATTGTATTGTTGCAGTGACCTCATACCATTGTAACAAATAGGGGAATCCCCCCGTCTCAACCCTAGGGCAGAGACAGATAAATCTAGCACCAGCAAAACGGGAGATAAATCTGTCAGGTGTGGGAGAAAATGTATATAACAACCTAGTCCGAGATTCCTCTGGCTCTATACACCAGATCTGGTGTTAGGGCCACAGGAAACTCAGGCTTTATAACCCCCATGGCCATTAGCCAAACATTTTAAACTGGTATTGTGATTTTTCCCTTCACAGAAACCTGAAGATCCGTACTGGCAAGGTGTATGGGATGCGACCTACTACCGGCCAGCCTGTCCCCAGCACATGTGGTATATCCGGGAGACTGTACCAAACCTAAAGAAACACAATGTCAGCGAGGACTGTTTATTCTTAAATATATTTGCTCCACACGTAAGTTTTGACTACAGCATAAAGAGACAGCCTTTTAATATAACAGTCTGTTTTTTCTGCAACCTCATATACAGTGGGGAATACACTCAAAATGAGTTCTATACTTCAGAAGAAAGAGTGAAATCTACCTTAATTAAATACCACACGTACATCACTTACATGTCTATGAAATCAACCTATAGCTGGCTTAAGGTACAGTGAAAGAATATTGCCAAAAAGATATGCTTGCTCTGAAAATGAATAAGAACTGAATCATTTTGGATTGTCATTACACATGTCATGTACATAACCGCTTCAAAACTGAAACATCTGGAAGCATTGGCCAACTTGGAATTCGTTTGTATAGGTAAGGAGAATTGCCTCCCCTCGGCCAAATGAAAAGAATCATGAAGCGGTCAATTCTCGTTTTAAATATTGTTGTATATGCAACTTTCAACTTACATGGAGAGGAATTTTGGCAGATGTTGTAAACCTGTATTTGACCTTCACTACAGAACACGTTGGAGCCCCCCAGTAACAGTCCCAGTCTGTATCCAGTCATGGTGTTTATACATGGGGGAGGGTACACACTCGGGAGCTCCCACCAGTACCCAGGGGTCTTCCTGGCAGAGAGGGGGGTTGTTGTGGTCACTTTCAACTATCGACTCGGCCCACTTGGTAAGTTTTTGAGACACGTCACATGTACTGGTTGTGAGGTTAACATTTTACAGGTTGAAAATACTAAATTGAAGTGTCCAAAATCAGGAGTATTAGTCTCCCACTTAAATAGGGAGAGTTGCAAGTATGAATTGATCCTTGTCAAGAATATAGAAAGACTTAATACTGGTTAACAATAAATGCAATAGCTGTTTACTTGGGCCTGTTGTTTAGTGTACCTATAAAGGCATTGTTTTTGATTTTCCAGGATTTCTTAGCACCAATGATCAGAATTCCGGAGGAAATTATGGGATGTTTGACCAAGTTAAGGCTCTGGAATGGGTCAGACTCAACATTGAGCGTTTCCGTGGAAACCCAAATGTTGTTACCTTGTTTGGTCAAAGCACTGGAGCCGCAAGTGTAGGTCTGCACTTATTGTCCCCACGATCAGACAGTAAGTACTACAATGTTTCAAGTGTAGGTCTGCACTTATTGTCCCCACGATCAGACTGTAAGTACTACAATGTTACAAGTGTAGGTCTACACTTATTGTCCCCACGATCAGACAGTAAGTACTACAATGTTTCAAGTGTAGGTCTGTACTTATTGTCCCCACGATCAGACTGTAAGTACTATAATGTTACAAGTGTAGGTCTACACTTATTGCCCCCACAATCAGACACTAAGTACCACAATGTTACAAGTGTAGGTCTGCTCTTATTGTCCCCACGATCAGACTGTAAGTACTATAATGTTACAAGTGTAGGTCTACACTTATTGCCCCCACAATCAGACAGTAAGTACTACAATGTTCCAAGTGTAGGTCTGCACTTATTGTTCCCACGATCAGACATTAAGTACTACAATGTTACAAGTGTAGGTTTGCACTTATTGTCCCTATGATCAGACAGTAAGTACTACAATGTTACAAGTGTAGGTCAACACTTATTGTCCCCACGATCAGACAGTTAGTACTACAATGTTACAAGTGTAGGTCTGCACTTATTGTCCCCACGATCAGACAGTATAAGTACTACAATGTTACAAGTGTGGGTCTGCACATATTGTCCCAATGATCAGACAGTAAGTACTACAATCTTACAAGTGTAGGTCTACTCTTATTGTCCCCACGATCAGACAGTTAATACTACAATGTTACAAGTGTAGTTCTGCACTTATTGTCCCCACGATCAGACAGTATAAGTACTACAAGTAGGTCTACACTTATTGTCCCCACAATCAGACACTAAGTACTACAATGTTACAAGTGGAGGTTTGCACTTATTGTCCCCACGATAAGACAGTAAGTACTTCAATGTTACAAGTGTAGGTCTACACTTATAGTCCCCACGATCAGACAGTATAAGTACCACAATGTTACAAGTGTAGGTCTGCACTTATAGTCCCCACGATCAGACAGTATAAGTACCACAATGTTACAAGTGTAGGTCTGCACTTATAGTCCCCACGATCAGACAGTATAAGTACTACAAGTAGGTCTACACTTATTGTCCCCACGATATGACAGTAAGTATTTCAATGTTACAATTGTAGGTCTACACTTGTTGTCCCCACGATCAGACAGGAAGTACTACAATGTTACAAGTGTAGACCTACACTTGTAACATTGAAGTACTTACTGTCTGATTGTGGGGACAATAAGTGTAAACCTACACTTGAAACATTGTAGTACTTACTGTCTTACTTACTGTCTGATCGTGGGGACAAAAAGTACAGACCTACACTTGTAACATTGTAGTAACATTGTAGTACTTACTGTCTGATCATTGGGGCAATATGTGCAGACCTACACTTGTAACAGTGTAGTACTTACTGTCTGATCGTGGGGACTACAAGTGTAGACCTACAATTGTAACATTGAAATACTTATTGTCTTATCGTGGGGACAATAAGTGCAAACCTCCACTTGTAACATTGTAGTACTTACTGCCTGATCGTGGGGACAATAAGTGCAGACCTACAATGTTACAAGTGTAGGTCTGTACTTTTTGTCCCCACGATCAGACAGTAAGTAAGACAGTAAGTACTACAATGTTTCAAGTGTAGGTTTACACTTATTGTCCCCACAATCAGACAGTAAGTACTTCAATGTTACAAGTGTAGGTCTACACTTATAGTCCCCACGATCAGACAGTATAAGTACAACAATGTTACGAGTGTAGGTCTACACTTATTGTCCCAACGATCAGACAGTAAGAACTACAATGTTACAAGTGTAGGTCTGTACTTATTGTCCCCACGATCAGACTGTAAGTACTACAATGTTACAAGTGTGGGTCTGCACATATTGTCCCAATGATCAGACAGTAAGTACTACAATCTTACAAGTGTCGGTCTACTCTTATTGTCCCCACGATCAGACAGTTAATACTCCAATGTTACAAGTGTAGTTCTGCACTTATTGTCACCACGATCAGACAGTATAAGTACTACAAGTAGGTCTACACTTATTGTCCCCACGATCAGACAGTATAAGTACCACATTGTTACAAGTGTAGGTCTGCACATATTGTCCCAATGATCAGTCAGTAAGTACTACAATCTTACAAGTGTAGGTCTACACTTATTGTCCCAACGATCAGACAGCAAGTACTACAATGTTACAAGTGTAGTTCTGCACTTATCGTCCCCACGATCAGACAGTATAAGTACAACAATGTTACGAGTGTAGGTCTACACTTATTGTCCCAACGATCAGACAGTAAGAACTACAATGTTACAAGTGTAGGTCTACACTTATTGTCCCCACGATAAGACAGTAAGTATTTCAATGTTACAATTGTAGGTCTACACTTGTTGTCCCCACGATCAGACAGTAAGTACTACAATGTTACAAGTGTAGGTCTACACTTATTGTCCCCACGATCAGACAGTTAGTACTACAATGTTACAAGTGTAGTTCTGCACTTATTGTCCCCACGATCAGACAGTAAGTACTATAATGTTACAAGTGTAGGTCTACACTTATTGTCCCAACGTTCAGACAGTAAGTACTACAATGTTACAAGTGTGGGTTTGGGCTTATTGTCCCCACGATCAGACAGTAAGTACTATAATGTTACAAGTGTAGGTCTACACTTATTGTCCCCACAATCAGACAGTAAGTACTACAATGTTAAAAGTATAGGTTTGCACTTATTGTCCCCACGATCAGACAGTAAGTACTACAATGTTACAAGTGTAGGTCTGCACTTAATGTCCCCACGATAAGACAGTAAGTACTTCAATGTTACAAGTGTAGGTCTACACTTGTTGTCCCCACGATCAGACAGTAAGTACTATAATGTTACAAGTGTAGGTTTGCACTTAGTGTCCCCACGATCAGACAGTAAGTACTTCATTGTTACAAGTGTAGGTTTGCACTTACAAGCCTTATTGTCCCCACGATCAGACAGTATAAGAACTACAATGTTACAAGTGTAGGTCTACAGTCCCCACGATCAGACAGTAAGTACGCACATATTGTCCCAATGATCAGACAGTAAGAACTACAATCTTACAAGAGTAGGTCTACACTTATTGTCCCCACAATCAGACAGTCAGTACTACAATGTTACAAGTGTAGGTGTACACTTATTGTCCCCACAATCAGACACTAAGTACTACAATGTTACAAGTGTAGGTGTACACTTATTGTCCCCACAATCAGACAGTCAGTACTACAATGTTCCCAGTGTAGGTCTGCACTTATTGTCCCCATGATCAGACAGTAAGTACTACAATGTTGCAAGTGTAGGTCTACACTTATTGTCCCAACGTTCAGACAGTAAGTACTACAATGTTAAAAGTGTAGGTTTGCACTTATTGTCCCCACGATCAGAGAGTAAGTACTACAATGTTACAAGTGTAGGTCTACAATTAATGTCCCCACGATAAGACAGTAAGTACTACAATGTTACAAGGGTAGGTCTGCACTTATTGTCCCCACAATCAGACACTAAGTACTACAATGTTACAAGTGTAGGTCTACAATTAATGTCCCCACGATAAGACAGTAAGTACTTCAATGTTACAAGTGTAGGTTTGCACTTAGTGTCCCCACGATCAGACAGTAAGTAATACAATGTTACAAGTGTAGGTTTGCACTTACAAGCCTTATTGTCCCCACGATCAGACAGTATAAGCACTACAATGTTACAAGTGTAGGTCTACACTTGTTGTCCCCACGCTCAGACAGTAAGTACTACAATGTTACAATTGTAGGTCTGCACTTATTGTCCCCACGATCAGAGAGTAAGTACTACAATGTTACAAGTGAAGGTCTGCACTTATTGTCCCCACGATAAGACAGTAAGTACTTCAATGTTACAAGTGTAGGTTTGCACTTTTTGTCCCCACGATCAGACAGTAAGTACTTCATTGTTACAAGTGTAGGTTTGCACTTACAAGCCTTATTGTCCCCACGATCAGACAGTATAAGAACTACAATGTTACAAGTGTAGGTCTGCAATTATTGTCCCCACGATCAGACAGTATAAGAACTACAATGTTACAAGTGTAGGTCTGCAATTATTGTCCCCACGATCAGACAGTATAAGCACTACAATGTTACAAGTGTAGTTCTGCACTTATTGTCCCCACGATCAGAGAGTAAGTACTACAATGTTACAAGTGTAGTTCTGCACTTATTGTCCCCACGATCAGAGAGTAAGTACTACAATGTTACAAGTGAAGGTCTGCACTTATTGTCCCCACGATCAGACAGTAAGTACTTCAATGTTACAAGTGTAGGTTTGCACTTACAAACCTTATTGTCCCCACGATCAGACAGTAAGTACTACAATGTTACAAGTGTAGGTCTGCACTTATTGTCCCCACGATCAGACAGTAAGTACTTCAATGTTACAAGTGTAGGTCTGTACTTATTGTCCCCACGATCAGACAGTATAAGTACTACAATGTTACAAGTGTAGGTCTGTACTTATTGTCCCCACGATCAGACAGTATAAGTACCACAATGTTACAAGTGTAGGTCTGCACATATTGTCCCAATGATCAGACAGTAAGTACTACAATGTTACAAGTGTAGGTCTGCACATATTGTCCCACTGATCAGACAGTAAGTACTACAATCTTACAAGTGTAGGTCTACACTTATTGTCCCCACAATCAGACAGTAAGTACTACAATGTTACAAGTGTAGGTTTGCACTTTTTGTCCCCACGATCAGACAGTAAGTACTACAATGTTCCAAGTGTAGGTCTGCACTTATTGTCCCCACGATCAGACAATAAGTACTACAATGTTACAAGTGTAGTTCTGCACTTATTGTCCCCACGATCAGACAGTATAAGTACCACAATGTTACAAGCGTAGGTCTGCACATATTGTCCCAATGATCAGACGGTAAGTACTTCAATGTTACAAGTGTAGGTCTGTACTTATTGTCCCCCCGATCAGACAGTATAAGTACCACAATGTTACAAGTGTAGGTCTACACATATTGTCCCAATGATCAGACAGTAAGTACTTCAATGTTACAAGTGTAGGTCTGTACTTATTGTCCCCATGATCAGACAGTATAAGTACCACAATGTTACAAGCGTAGGTCTGCACATATTGTCCCAATGATCAGACGGTAAGTACTTCAATGTTACAAGTGTAGGTCTGTACTTATTGTCCCCACGATCAGACAGCATAAGTACCACAATGTTACAAGTGTAGGTCTGCAGATATTGTCCCAATGATCAGACAGTAAGTACTACAATCTTACAAGTGTAGGTCTACACTTATTGTCCCCACGATCAGACAACAGTCAGTACTACAATGTTACAAGTGTAGGTCTGCACTTAATGTCACCACGATAAGACAGTAAGTACTTCAATGTTACAAGTGTAGGTCTACACTTATTGTCCCAACGATCAGACAGTAAGTACTACAATGTTAAAAGTATAGGTTTGCACTTATTGTCCCCACGATCAGAGAGTAAGTACTACAATGTTACAAGTGTAGGTTTGCGCTTATTGTCCCCACGATCAGACAGTATAAGTACCACAATGTTCCAAGTGTAGGTCTGCACATATTGTCCCAATGATCAGACGGTAAGTACTTCAATGTTACAAGTGTAGGTCTGTACTTATTGTCCCCACGATCAGACAGCATAAGTACCACAATGTTACAAGTGTAGGTCTGTACTTATTGTCCCCATGATCAGACAGTATAAGTACCACAATGTTACAAGTGTAGGTCTGCAGATATTGTCCCAATGATCAGACAGTAAGTACTACAATCTTACAAGTGTAGGTCTACACTTATTGTCCCCACAATCAGACAGTAAGTACTTCAATGTTACAAGTGTCGGTCTACACTTATTGTCCCCACGATCAGAGAGTAAGTACTACAATGTTACAAGTGTAGGTTTGCACTTTTTGTCCCCACGATCAGACAGTAAGTACTATAATGTTACAAGTGTAGGTCTACACTTATTGTCCCCACGATCAGAGAGTAAGTACTACAATGTTACAAGTGTAGGTTTGCACTTTTTGTCCCCACGATCAGACAGTAAGTACTACAATGTTCCAAGTGTAGGTCTGCACTTATTGTCCCCACAATCAGACAGTAAGTACTACAATGTTACAAGTGTAGTTCTACACTTATTGTCCCCACGATCAGAGAGTAAGTACTACAATGTTACAAGTGTAGGTCTGTACTTATTGTCCCCATGATCAGACAGTATAAGTACCACAATGTTACAAGTGTAGGTCTGCACTTAATGTCACCACGATAAGACAGTAAGTACTTCAATGTTACAAGTGTCGGTCTACACTTATTGTCCCCACGATCAGAGAGTAAGTACTACAATGTTACAAGTGTAGGTTTGCGCTTATTGTCCCCACGATCAGACAGTAAGTACTACAATGCTACAAGTGTAGGTCTGCACTTATTGTCCCCATGATCAGACAGTAATCGCCTGATATAAAACATTCATGCTTGACTCGAGACAATTTTTCAAATGATACTTTAAGATTGGAAACATTTGCATTTTCTTATTGAATATCAAAGAAAATGTGAATCCCCTTTGTGCTATTAGTTTACGGGTATTATTCCCTTGGAGTAATTATATACTTGTTTCACTTCTACCTTACTACAATGTTTTTTACCTTAATTTATAAAGTAATATATTTCACTGAATTTAATAAGTAAAACTATGCTTGTGCAAGTGAGCAGGTGCAAAATTTTAAGAATTAAGAATTTTTGGAAAATGTCAAAATTTAAGTACATGCATTAAAAGCAATTTACTCAAGGCTTTATTACTTTAATTCTGAAAACAGGATTGTAGACGAACTGAAAGAATCATTATGTAATAACAACCGATTTGCCTACTATCCTGTCCATAGTTTTGATTGTATAATGTAATGGAGCGAAATGCATTGAAAAATGCATAGATGCATCATGATCATGTACAAATAAATACAGTCATTAAGATAAATTGATATATCAACTGAACCACTTGTACACCGTTTCTCTCAGAACTGTTCCAGCGAGCCATCCTTCAGAGCGGGTCAGATCGTAGTGAGTGGTCGTACATAGAGGGAACTACTGCAGCAGAATATGCCAAGGACCTGGCCTGGGAGCTCGGCTGTCCCACGGACGATAACTTCCGTCTGGTTCAGTGTATACAGCTGTATAGAACGGCTGACGAAATCGTGAATGCATCGGCTAAAGTTCCAACTCGGGTGAGATACAGCAGTGGTGTCAGAAGTAGAATCCAGGGATGAATTGTTTGGAATAAATGGGGTTTATTTCACAGTGGTAGTTCAAGTTATGTATATACACAACATATTGTTGTACATATATGCTTTAAGTCACTTATTTGTATGAATTTAGGCAATGAGTACTGTAAATGGACATATCTAAACAGTTCTCTTATTTTAGTGCTTTTCGTGCTTTCGTTCTTTATAGATGTGGAAATTCATCAATGTAATCTGTCAAAATTTGACTTGAACACACTCAAATGTTAGTGTGCTAAAATAAATATGTTAACAGTATTAGTAGAGGGAAGTAAAGACATACTGTTGAATGTGTTTCTAATTAGTTAAATTGACTGCATAATTGAGACCAAATTATCAACTGATTTTTTTTTTATATTTTCCAGAATGGGTATGTCGGAAACCCTTGGGGACCTACGGTAGATGGTCCAATCAATGGAGCCTTCTACGCCTTCCTCCCAGATAGTCCCAAGTCCATGAGGGAACAGGCCTACTTCAAAAAGATCAAAATCATGGCGGGGATAAATAGAGATGAGGGATCTCTCTTTGTTCGTAAGTATTGACTTGTTATGTAATGCTTCAGTTTTCAGTCATTACATGTGTAACAGGAAAAAGAGTAATATTCTTCCACCGGGGATCAAACCCTAAGCTTTCCAGTCCGCTGCTCTGCTGATTGAGCTAAAGGTAATTCCCTCTAGCATGGAGCTAGAAGGTGACCCTAATCCTATATGTACAATTAAAATCTGTCACACATGAAATTTATTTCCTTTCTACAATTAATATCAAAATAAACAATGTATCAGATTTTCGAGAAATATTTTCACACTGATTATGAATTTATTTATTTTATTCACAACTGTTTTCTTTGAAGTAACCTTACATGTTCTGATGTATCTAAATATCCTCCACAGAATCTGATGTGTATTTTTGTTGTTTACCTAGCTAATCTGAAGACATTAGAGGGTGGGATATCCACGTCCCAGTTTGGGAACATTATAAATGAGTTTCTGGTGGACAGAAAGGTGGAGGACTTGACAGGTACCAGCCAGGCAGTCAAGTTTCAGTACACGTACTGGCCGGACCCTCAGAACGAGTCGATGATCAGAACGAGGATGTCCGATGTAAGTTTTCCCAAGAGTAACGTCATTTGGAGACCAACTTTCTTTCAAGATGAATACTATAGAATTTTATAAATGGACTTAGAGTATGTCTTCTGCCACTGTAATGTCAGTAACCCCAAAGTCAAGGTCAGAGCACAGGGTCAAAGGTTAAACTGTTGTGGCCTTTTACTGATAAACTGAAATTTATATCTGTAAATATCAAACATTGTAGTTTTAAATGGATAAATAGTTTATTTGCTTTGGTGACTGTACCGTCAAGTTAACAGCAAATGACAAAATGTCAAATCATTTTAAGCCTTGTCAGGGTTATGACTTTTAATTGCTTAAATGTAATTTGAGGAAAATTCACAGATGAATGTGTCAGATAATATGCTTAATAGGGGAATGGATTTATAATACTTGATAATCATACTATGTTTAAGGTTCGTTTTAGTAATAATTACAGTGAAAGAGAAATTATTTGAGAAACCTTTACATTACAGATGATGTCCGACTACATGTTTGGGGCAGGTCTAGACCAGGTAGTCAAAGTCCAGGCTCTGTACAACAAAACCTTCGTGTACGAGTTCAGTTATTACTCCTGGAACGACTATCTCCCACACTGGAGGGGTACGTATAGGCGTCTACGAGGTTCATTCATTTTCATGTCTGTCAATATTAATCAATGTATTCATTGAAATTAGCATTCTCCCAAGTATCATCATTCTGTGTGTACTTTGCCTGAATCACAAGTGTATAATGTCATTATAATATACTCCCACTTGGTAAGGGGAGAGTATAAAGTAAACGCTTGGTCAGTGTATCCTTCTGTAGTAAAAAGCTTGTATACAAGCTTTCTCACGAACCCTTGAACGTGTGTAGTTCATATTCACAGCATAGTACGGTAATACTAAGATCTGCACCTGATTAGATTTCAGTGGTCATCGGTCAAGGTTAAAGGGTTAGAGGTCACAGGCAAAAATCACACTTCACCGCTTCTGAAGTAAAAATGTTGTGTACAAGATATTATCTCACAAACCCCAAAACAATTTAGTTTATATTTACACCATAGTATGGTAATCATTACATTTTGATGGTCTTTGTTCAAGGTTCAAAGGTCAAAGGTGACAGGCATAGGTCAAGGCTAAAAATATGTCTTGTAAACCATTTTCTTATAGGTTGTGTGTGTGGGGGAGGGGGGGGGGGGG